GTAAATATAACCGAGATGTCAGCAGCCTGGACAAGTCAACAAAAGAGTGTTTTACACCAAGTCTCGATGGTAGTACGATCAAACCAGTTACTTATGGTCACAGGACCTGTTGGCAGTGGAAAGAGCTCTTTACTGATGGCCATTCAAGGGGAAATTCCCACAACTGAAGGGAAAATTACGGTCCATGGTCAAACAGCTTATGTTAGCCAAATACCTTGGATCTTTTCGGCTTCCATTCGTGATAATATTGTCTTTGGACGACCATTTGACGAGTCTCGATACAAGAGAATACTAGAAATATGTGACCTTCAGAAAGACATCAAGTGCTTCCCTCATGAAGACTTGACCATCATTGGTCAGAGAGGTGTAGGTCTCAGTGGTGGTCAGCGTGCAAGACTCAGTCTAGCTCGCGCAGTCTACTCAGAAGCAGATATCTTTTTACTGGATGACCCACTCAGTGCAGTTGATGCCAGGGTTGGACAACACATCTTTGATAAGTGTATCTGTGGAGAGCTGTCGAATCGAGTAAGAATTCTGGTGACCCATCAAGTACAATACCTTCCACGAGCTGACAAGATAGCAGTGGTAAGAGATGGTGCTGTTGTTCTCGGGACATACTCGGAATTGATCGAAAACGGAGTAGTAGATACCTTACAGAAAAGACATGAAGACACTACTAGCGACTACACATTGCATGAAGACGTCGTTCATTATAAAGATGATAATTCTAAAGACATGAGGGAGGAAGATGAGGACCGAACTACTGGTACGGTGTCTTGGCGTCTGTACTGGAGGTTTTTCAAGGCTGGATTACCCTCTGTTATCATTGTTTGCCTTGTTTTATTTTACATCATCGCTCAAGGTATTTATAATGAGAATAATTTATGATTTACACATCACCCTTTCTATATGGATATAATCAAAGGCGCTTTACATTGAGTAGTGAATTTCAGATTGCTTTTTATGGAATTTACAATCATGAGAGACGGTTAGTATGAGGTTTAGGCACTGAGGGTGGTCACTGCCAGAGTTTGTTTACGTCCTCCGATATTGGTTATGATGATGTTTTGTGGAGAAACGGGGCCGCCATTTAAAGAGGTCATCCGAGCCACTCGAGAGTGTAACCATTTGTACCAGATGTATATGAAGATGTAGATGTATACAAAGGCAGCAGTTTCTCCTCAATTATTTTAAGAACCCGATTGTTGGTCCGGCCGGGATTCGAACCACGACCTCCCGCACGAAAGTCCGATGCTCAACCAACGGCTGGGCCAACCAAGCGGTTGGCGGTAATTTGGCAATTTGGTAATTTGAGACTTTGAGACTCCTAGAATAGTAAGGTTACCTGGACTAAAAAAAATAGCCATATACGTTTACTATTATTAATTTCATGGACGAAACAAAATTCATCTATATCTTTGGTATCTCTCTCAAGGTAATTTGACATTAAATATAACGTGCGTATAGTTAGCTCAACTTGTAAGAACGTGGTCTGTTTTGTGGAAGGTCGAGTCACAACCGGACCAAGTGACTCAGGGTCTTAAATACTGATAAGAGATGTTGTTGCTTTTGCTAATTACATCAGAAACATATTTAGACCTTAATGTTTTCTTGGAAAATGAACCGTAGGTTCAGTCGCCAAACCCTTCTTTATCCTGTAAATTGACCTGATAAAAGAACCTGTGGAATAGACCCTCGTTGTTTGTTGCGCACATTTCAGACCAGTATGATGCCACTCTTGGAAGTTGATTCTTTCATGTGTAAATATTTTAACGTTCGTCATGAAAAAAAAACATTCTCAAGGGAATGTCATGTGATCTAATATGATGGGCAATTTGCATACGAAGCTCAAGAGGTCTATTTAGTAGTAAAGTAGTGGATCTCGATTTGGAGTCTTTCCTGGTGTAGCAAGCTTAATGTATTCTGGGTTAGAGTTTCTTGTTTTGCAGAGTATTGTTTAGCTCCAAATTCATTATCCTTGCGTATTTGTTTTATTGTCTTCATGCTACAGGCGCCTTCCAGCACCAAGAAAGAGCCCCAATTTGAAGCATAACACTGATAGACTAACGATTCCCTCATGATTGTAAGCTGCATGGTTGCTAGCAGCGCCTTAATACGCATCATCATCATTATAATCATCATTCTCCTACTCCTGTTAGTGATAACTGAATGTTAAAGATCCGCAAAAATGCAATACTTCCCATCGGAATATCAAGAAAATAACTTTCACCAGTGTTTATTACAACCTCAAAACATTAAAATAGAAAATTATTTTAGAAAAGTTTCGGCTGATTTAAATCTACGAACATTTTTGTTCAAGATGCACTTGAATATTGTGTAATGGACAAACGGTCATTCATTCTGTTCCTTACTCAAAGTAACGTACTTTCTCTTTCGTAGCGTCATCGGTGGTTCCAACTTGGTGGATGTCACGAATAGTTCATATGACACTACAGGACCAAAGAGGTTCCTTCTCCTTAGGCGTGTTTGGTGGTTTGGTTGGAGCATCGTTAATTCTTTTCTTAGTAAAAGACTTGGCTTTTGTAAGTGCAATTTTGATGTCTACAAGAAAGTTGCACGACAAGATGACACTGGCTGTTATCAAGTCTCCTGTTCTGTTCTTTGATACCAATCCTGCTGGACGAATAATGAACCGCTTTTCCAAAGATATCGGTGCTATGGATGATCTGCTGCCCATACAATTCCTTTACTCGGTTCCTATTTGCTTGAATATAGTTATAGTTATATTGCTAGCTTTGGTAGTTAGCCTGTGGATCGCTGTTGCTGTCATTCCACTGGCAATGCTGTTATTTTTGATTGCTGCGTATTATCTAAAGAGTTCTCGTGAGCTGAAGAGAATAGAAGCGATAAGATGCAGCCCTGTCTATGACCATGTTGCCGAAACCATTACAGGGTTAGAAGTCATTCGAACATCAGGGGCGGAAGAAGAATGCTGCAACAAATTGTTAAGGTAAAAAACTGCATAACCTTATTTACTAGTCAAATGCGAGTGTGTTGAATAAACAGTGCCTTTGGTTTGACATGGTCAGGGTGGCTATCGTCAGTTCCGAGAAAGTAATGAAATTTAGTCTTCCATGGCAGGTGATGCTGCTTGTAACCTCTTTCACAAACAACTCAGTTCGTCGGAGACACTTTTCATTGTTGTAAATTCATTTACGAATCCYACTTCCCCATAGTTATGACGTGTAAAAGTGTAAATTGATATCACTGAGATGGTTTTGAGAAAAATCCTTGGATTTAACTCGAGAGCCTAGGAAAGATCAGTAACCAGTAAACTATGCGAACCATTTCAAGGTTTGATTGACACAAACGTTGTGTTCAATAAATCTTTACTAATTTTAAATTGTTTGCAGGTTTAGCACCAACACTTGACGGCAGCCATGTAAGATGGATGGAACAATACAGTCGTTTTACATGAGAATTCAATTGCCAAGAGTAAAGGAATTTAATTGTTCTGCCATATAACCACAGGAAGCCTAAACAGTATTACGGGATGGGCACGTGATGGTGCAAAACCTCTATTTATGTTCTTGTCGTCCTTACGCACTAACGACTTTAATTTCACAGGCTTCAAGATGAACATACCAAAGCCTTTTTCCTAGTCATGGCAACATCTCGCTGGCTTGGACTGTACTTAGATTTACTGTGTGCCTTTTTCTTGGTGGGGGTAGCCATCGTAGGACTGGTTGCCATTCACGATCACGGTAAATATACAAATATCAGTTCTTGCAAATGATTGATTAGTGCAATTAGATCTGACAGAATGAAGGCAAAATAGTTTTATTTCGAACGTTTTTATTCTCAGGTTTGGCTGGAATGTTGCTGTCACTTTCTATCGCTCTTTTCGGTACTACCCAATACGGTATACGCCTGTCTACTGATGTCGAGAGTCAAATGACGTCAGTCGAACGAGTGATGAAGTATACTGAGCTACCTTCTGAACCTGGGTACACCAGACAAGACAAACCATCAGATGACTGGCCAAGTCAAGGTTCATTGTCTATACGAGACTTGTCCATGGTGTATTTAGAAGGTGGACCCTCAGTACTAAAGGACATCAWYCTTGATGTTCAACCCAAAGAGAAGATTGGTATCGTAGGTCGCACTGGAGCAGGCAAGTCATCTCTTGTAGCTGCTCTCTTTCGGATGCCCGATCCTCAAGGCCAAGTATTTATTGACGGTGTTGATCTTGGCACCATTGATATACAGGCTGTGCGCAGATCCATGGCTGTTATCACTCAAGACCCTGTGCTCTTTGCTGGAAGTCTTAGAAAGAATCTAGATCCATTCAATCGTTTTACAGACCAGGCTATCTGGACAGCACTTGATGAAGTACAACTGATGAAGAAAGTCAGCAAACAGCACCAACAGCTAGACTACTGCGTAGGGGAAGGAGGGTCAGGATTTAGTGTCGGTGAACGACAACTGCTGTGTCTTGCTCGAGCATTATTACAGAAGTGTAAAATACTTGTGCTGGATGAAGCAACAGCCAACGTGGATTACAGGACAGATCACCTCATTCAGCAAGTAATCAGGCAAAAGTTTACCAAGTGTACTGTGCTGACCATAGCTCATCGAGTGAACACCATCATGGACTATGACAAGGTAGTGGTTCTTGACCATGGTCACGTGGTGGAATACGATAATCCCAGAGTTCTTGCTGGGAAAGAGAATGGCTTCTTTTCAAGATTGATAAAGGGACATACCATGAAGGTCTGATAAAATTTGATGTAKTTGGTAGTTAGGTTGCTACATACAMWRGTTTGCTGAACTGATTCACAAGTATACTGGAATAGAGCCACCATTGTCAGTGCCACGACGATGAAATTTAAATGTCCAATTTTCACTTTAATTAAACACATTTTAAAGCACCGTTACAAAAGAAGAAAACTGGTGTTTTTCGTTTTTCGTTAACAATTTTGGTTCGAAAGACATATAATTTTAAAAGTTTATGCTAATTAGGATGTTGATGCCGTTATATTGTGATCGGCTCAGTTTCCTTCAACATAGATTTCAGCATATCTCTAAGAATATTTGCTGTATACTTGTATTATCAAGATATGAAACATGAAAATGCAAAAACTGTGATTGCTTTTGTGACGTTATCATATAATCAGTTATTGGCCTTATGTAACCTGAACCCTCAAGGGTGTGTATCAGTAACTGAGTTACTCGAGTAAAGAGACACACACACACGAATCTTGTAGTTATTTTTACCCTTTGCTCGGATCCTCTGTCTCAGTTGAGACAATACTGTCGACAATACTTCGTCTAGAAACGATACAGCTTTGGCAGCACGCTGGTGTCCAGGCCCCTAACAGCGATTTTAACCTTTTTTCACTTGATTGCTTTGTAATTTTTTAACTTGAGCAGAAAATTGTTGAATGAATTTGTGTCCTCCACTTTAACATTTATTTTAAACTTGCCTTTTTCGATACGTCTCTCGTAAAGGTAGAAATTTTAAAAACCTGATTTTTAAATAAGGGTGGCCTTGAACCAACGTCGTTGTTATGGTAACTTATCTCCGTAATTATTTTTGAAGAACAGCTAGAGTTCTATAACGCTACTAAATTGGGTTAATTTTGATTGAAATTGGGCTGAGATATAGCTTATCATATTGTTAGGCTGCTCAAGTATTGAGAATATGACGTAAGCATGAAAAATGGCCGCCATTTTTTTAAACTCCAATATCTTTAGAGCATATGTCGTTATTGCGGATGGACACGTTTGTTGACTAGCTCTGCCAAAACTGACGCTATGGCCATGAAGGAATATGAAGGAATTTGCCCCATTTTACCTAAAAATTAAACATCTAGAACGACAGTCAGAAAAAATGAGACATAAATGAGACGAATTTTTTTGAAGAATTATTTGCACGACACAGTTTTCTTGAGCTTAAAAGTACCCTCAAACAAGTGAGAATTTTATCATGGCCGTCCGGATACAACGGAAAAGAGACGTTTTTACTGTATGTAATGTCAATATGATATTGTTCAAGACCTTGAAAAGACATTCTTAGGTAAATGTTTTTAATCTGCTACAATCGACCAAATATGTCTAAATACGTTGTTTTTCAAGGATCATTTTTGCATACATTAGCAAGTAAATGACTGCCAAATTAAAATTATATTTTTCAAACCTTTTATAAGCCGTTTGAGATCAATACTTAGCAAATGTGAGTGTTTTTTTTGAAGACAGAGCAGAACTTACTCCCAGGTGCTTCACAAACCATGTAATTCTCTGTGTAGTGACGACCATTTGCACAAAACCGAAAGCATTGCGTGGCCATTGGCGACAGGATAATAAATAGTGTGCATGTGAGTTATTCAAAAAAGTGTATTCAAATAAATAAAGAGACTAAAACTTTGATCCCCCGTTATTCTACATTTTGTACATGTAATCCTCCTAACGTTTTAGCATTTAAAAGCCGTTCGTTTTAGCAGCTCCTGGCCGTTCAAATCCGAGCAAAATGGAAGGTGATAAATGAGGGTCCTGTAAGCGGGATCCTTATTCCCATTTCCCAACCCAAATTTTATTTAAATCCCAGTTCAAATCCCACAGTCCTAGCCTATGTTTTGCTCAAATCTCAATCTTATTACCATTTTAGATTGTTGTTGTTGTTGTTGTTGTTTTTTTTTTTGTTTGTTTATGAATCCCAGTCCCAGTATGCATGAAATCCCATTTTCCCAGCCCAAGAAAGGCATTTTACCCCTTCAGGACACTCTAAATACAGCTAAGTTTTGATCACAGCGTGGGTGGCTCGGGATTAAAATTATACGAAGATCGAAAACGTGTCTTACAGAAATACAGAAAGACTATCTAATATCCCAGTTTAACATTTAGTTAGCAAACCGGACATAAAGACAACTTTTTAAAAATAAGTCACATCCACACACAGTATTATGATCCCGTCGCCGATGGTCACGCAATGCTTTCGTGGTTTTGTGTGTTATGACCGTCACATGATTTGTGAAGCAGTTGGAAGTAAATGCTGCTCTATCTTCAGAGAAAAAAAATCACATTTGTTAAGTATTGATATCTCAAACGGCTTATGAAAGATTTTAAAGTATTATTATAATTTTGGCAGTCATTAATACGATTTCACATAACGTTACGTTTTACCTGCAAATAAGCCTTAGATTAAAATAGGAGATAACTAGCTGAAAACTAGTGTGAACTGCGTCGGTGTTTCTAATGAAGCAGTTAAGATAAAATGGGTAAATTTTACACCGTGAAACACTGACGTTTCAGACGCTCTTTTACTCCGACGAAGGACTAGCGTCCGAAACGTCAGTAAGTTTTTTCATCTTTTCACATTGTATAATTTACCCTGTTAGATTAAAAAAGACATGCTAATGAGACAAAGTCGTCGATACACGCTTCGGCCGTAAATAAGTTCAATTCACAAGTACAGTTAAAATCGAAGTTAAAAGACAGTTTAACCGAGTGACAAGAAAAGAAAGAGCTACAGAGAAGTGGCTATTGATGCGCAGGAAACGCATAAAGAATTGTGCAGTAAGGCAGCATGGATACACTCGCACGTGTAAAAAATTTGCTGACTAACGTCGAAGACCAAATTGTGAAGGGGCAGTGAAATTGAAATGCAGAATTGATGTTTCAGTGAATCATCAGTCTGCCTTGTAATGTCTAGGTTAATATAAATTGATTTAATTTTTGTTCAAAGCGAAAAACTTTCCAAAAATACACATTTTCCATTTTCTTTCTGGTGTTTATTTATTATTTTGTTTTTAAATTATCAAATTTTTAAAACTTCTGAAGAATTAAAATAAATTCTAGCTTAAGRCCAATTTAGACGGCACAACTTTTGCTTACAACTTGTACACGCGAGAGTTTTAGCACGTGTTGTAGCCGCTATCTAGACGAGCACAACTTTCAACTTACTACACAAAAAAAGTTGCACGTAATTTGCTCGGTTTGTTGTTTAGGAGACTGGGGACGGCAACAAACAAGATGGCGGACAGAAAGCGTGTGGCTGACAGTAGTACAGCGGAAAAAAAATATTTAAAAGAAAGAAACTGGAACCTCCAATTTGACCTAGCTAGAACTATAGCACGGGAATTTATGAGCAAAATAGCAACATCACATGTCTAAACATGAAAACTATAAGCATTCAAGTCACAAAATAGCACGATTAATCAACTTTACTCGCTGCATTGCTGCAGCTCTATGATCTTTGTTGAAATAAAACGAGTGTTTACAGTTGAATAAAACTTCCTCTTTTGCCCATCCGCTTACCAACCTTTCGATCTCAACGCTCGAAAATTTCTTTTCTTCGTCTTTGCATTGTTTTGTTTTTGTCGTTGTTTTCGTAACATTTGGAAGTGCCATTTCTGGTTCCGGTTCCATATCGTCCAAAATCGTCACCCTCTCCCCCTCAGTCTTGCTTTTTTCGTAAAAATTGCTCACAATTTTTTCATGTTGTGTACAACAGTTGTGAGCAGGTTGTACGGTCAATTTAGACTGAGCAATTCGAGTTGTAGGGATGTCGTCAGCATACGGGCGTACAAGTTGTAGGCAAAAGTTGTGCTGTCTAGATAGGCCTTTATAAAAACTATCTGATTTTGTTGATATAATATTATCTATAATTAAAAATATTATGATCCTTGACTGGTGCAGAATCTACAGTCTTTACGGGAAGGAGGGTCTGTTCAGCTGAAAAGAGCAACATATCATTCTTTAACACTGCACATAGTCTAAACTAGTATTTTTATGAGAAAGTTTCTATTGTTTGATACATCAATATTGCTGGTGGCTTCTCACGTGAGTCTAAACGCTCTATACGAAACATGCATAATCTCTAAGGAGGATGTTTAGCACATCTACATATCATCAAACTGTTATCATACTTAGTGAAAAATCCGTTTAAAAGTTTCATTTTCTTGTGATATCTGGCCATCTTCAGGGTCACATGAATTAACTTACAATTGTGCGAGCCAACTATTTGCACGTGAAATATGAACTAAACGGAAAACTAAAACTGTGTGAGATAAGATTGTATGTTAGAATAAAAAATATAGGAAAAAGGCGCGAGTGAGTAGCAAGATCTAATAGTAATGGAACTAAATGATAATGCACTATCTAGTTAATTGATAAATAAATAAATAAATAAACAAACAAATAAACATGAATGAATGAATGAAAATGAATAAAAGGAAAAATGAATAAACAAATTATGATATTAATAAAAGACTAAAATAATATTAACAAAAAACTAAAATACAAAACACTTGAATTATTATCATACTAAACTGGCTGTCTTCCATCTGTCTTGAGAGCCAATTGGAAGAAGGTATTCGTTTGACTGAGTAACTTGATCCCTAGCTCTCTAAACGACAACACGTTTTAAAAATCCTTCATTAGTATTGGAGAACATCCTGAGAGACATCAGTGAATGATAAATGGGTGGAAAATATCAACGCCTTGCCTCTGACACAGGTTCCAAGACGTTAAAAAAGGGGTATTTTCTCCTATCTTTTCTTTACCTGGTTAAATGGGCTCCTGAAATTGGGATACCAACGACCTCTCGTTGATGACGATCTGTTGGAGCTGTCAGACGAAAACAAGGCACAAGGTCTAGTAGCCAAGTTACACGGGCTATGGATGGAAGAGATTAACAGTGCTAAGAAGAAAGGCAGAAAACCCCGTCTTTGGAAGGCCATGTTCAAACTATTCCTTCGAGATGTCATTCTCTTTACTGCTTTGAAACTGATTGATGAAGCTATGGCGATTACTTTGGTAGTATCAGTGTGGTTTTATCTAAAGTTCTTAGAAGAAGGATCCCACATGGATCAGACCTACGCTGTTGGTATAGTTGCTARYATTGGGATTCCAAGTCTGATTAAGGTGTTCTTCTATCATCATTCTGATTACTTGACTGTGTTGATGGGTGTGAGGTTGAAAAGTGCTGTTATAGGTTTGATCCATAAAAAGGTGAGGTGATAAAGGGGTAAAGGTGGAATCAAAAGGATTTATTATAATCTTATTGTTGTCGTTATTTTACTGACACAGATCACTGAATCTAGACGTAGCGATCTCTCCAAGTTCACAACCGGTCATATAGTGAATCTAGTGTCCAACGATGCGAAAAGGATGGACAAGTTAGGCATATCACTAGCAGAAGTACTATCAACCCCATTTGTTTTCCTTGTAGTCGTACTTCTACCTTTATTGGTTGGTTGGCCATCCTTGTCTTGCCTTCTATTGATGCTAGTCTTGATCATTATAAATTTACTACTCACACAACTGTATACTAACATTCGCCTTGAGCAAGCCAAAGTCACAGACAAGCGATTGACCGTAATGAGTGAGATCATCTGTGGAATACGAGCTGTAAAGATTATAAGCTTGGGAATGGAAATACAACGAAACAGTTCAAGAATTACGAGGGTATTTTCAAATGCTATTCTATTAATATTACTTTATATGTGGAAAATGAGCATCAGTTCGTTCCTCGAGTAGGCTGTTCTCAGTGTTGTCAGGCAACGCTCCCTCTCCCCTAACGGCTGCTCACATTATGACAACATTCCTTTCCCTTTGTTCCATAAAACACCAATTTTTTACTTTCCCTTTACAAACTCATTAATAATTCATGAAGAAAACACAATAGAAATCATGACCGTGAAGAGTTATATAATTTTGATACAGAATCATGTTCATTTGCATAAACTTTAACTTTATAAAGGCCTGTTTAGACGGTACGATTTTCATACAACTATTGTATACAACACGCTCGCGTCTGTCGTAGGCGAGTTGTAGGCTTGATTTACACGCTACGACTCGAGTTGTAGGATGGCGCCTGCCTTTAGCTTATTGCTCACCTTGACTTCATTATTTCGATAAGTAAAATACCATGAAATGACATCTTTTTAAAGATTAAAATCTTTTATAGCTCTTGAACAAATTAGGGCGAAACCCCTTTGTTATTTATTTATTTTTTAAGTAATATATACAGTATGAGTGGCCGTGTTGTATCAGATACAGTCAATTCAAAAAACGTTGTCGTCGATCGGCTCAAGCCTACGCGACTGGACCGAAAGGAATATGGGTAAAATTATTGAAGCGGTTAAATATTCGTTCTGAATTAATTGTTCCCGCTAGAAATAAGATAATAATGGCGAGAAACAATCCATCAAATGCATGTCTTCGGGTTTAGGGAAAGAAAAACAAAGTAGTTATGATTCAGTTCACAATTCCGAAAATACGAAGGCATTAAAAAAACGTCTCCTTCAACACTTCCCGCCTCGCCTACGAAGGTTCGTGCTGTAAACCAGGCATAACTAGTCAGATAAAATTATGGAGTCAACTCGGCTTCAATGATTGCTACCCAGAGTTCCTTTCGGTCAGGTCGCGTAGACTTGAGTTGGTTGACGACAACATTTTTTGAATTGACTGTATACAACCACGAGGCGTAACCGAGTGATTGTATATCTGATACAACACGGACACGAATACTGTATATGATTTATCAAACGTCTAGGTTAGTTCCTTTGTGTTTCACTAAAATTTTCAAAATTAAAGTGAATTTGGCCAAGAAAATCCAACTTAAAGTTTATGCAAATGAACACAGTTTGTAGTCAGATTTACAACACTCTTCACGGTCGTGATTTCCGTTGTGTTTTCCTCATGCATTATTAATGAGTTTTATAAAGTACTTTATATAATACCTAAATTCGGAAGAGAAATTTTAAAAATCTAACGATGGGATCAAATCACAATCAGATTACATATTTTGTTTATAATTTGAATAGTATATCGCATCATTTTCACCGCCAAAGCAGCCATTCACCTCATACATGCGGTTACGTTTTGGGAACACGAGTTCACCGAGACTGTGATTAAGCTACCTGACTGAACTGTTATAATGGAGAAACGTCGCCGAAGGGGAGGTGGGTGGGGTCAAAAATCTGTCTAGCACTGACTGGTACAGCGAACCTGAGCAAATGAGGTCGAAACCTTGGATTTTCTCGCTTAAATAGGCAAGCGCCGATCCGGGGGCATTCATAATGCTTCTCACCTAGGAATCACACCCAGAAAGTCATGATAACATTCCGCGCGTACTCGTTTCATGGCTGCTTTAAATAATTTCAGCAAAATATGGGTTATTTTTGAAATCTTTCCATGTTCACGTTGTTCGCACGTTTTTACCGTAAAAAGGGCGAGCTTCCACGCATTCTGACAGATAAACGAAGGGGGTGGCCACCATTTTTATTTGTTTATTTTACTTCTAGATTGATATTACTTTCATCATGCAAAATGTATTAAAAGGCTTTTAGAAATGACAGGATGTCTGAAATGGTAAAACACAGATCTAATCAAATGAAATTCAATACCAAAGGCCATTTTCATTCGCAATTTGCTTTCGCACCATTTACAATCTTTTTTCTTTGTTCCAGAAAAGAAGTGAATTATAACAAACAAAAGAACATGATACAAACATCATTCCAGATGCTAAAGTATAACGTAAACCCAATGGCATCCTTGGTGTGTGTCGTGGCGTTAGTTTACAGTGGGATAAGAATAGATGCTGCTAGGGCTTTTACATTGGCGATAATATTAGACATTTGTGCCAAACTCATAGCTTTTAAGATTGCTTTTCATTTTATCCACTTGAGAGATTCTATAGTTTCCATATACAGGATTGAGGAATTCCTATGTAATCGTCCAACATCAGTGGATATAAGTACAAGTGCCATAATATCATCCAAAGATACCCAACCTTGTAGAATTGGAAGTTTGACTTTTACCAAAAATATTGATAGCAGGAGAGAAACATGTATCGAACTGGACACTGAACCCAGAGTAAATATAATCGAGATGTCAGCAGCCTGGACAAGTCAACAAAAGAGTGTTTTACGCCAAGTCTCAATGGTAGTACGATCAAACCAGTTACTTATAGTCACAGGACCTGTTGGCAGTGGAAAGAGCTCGTTACTGATGGCCATTCAAGGGGAAATTCCCACACCTGAAGGGAAAATTACGGTCCATGGTCAAACAGCTTATGTTAGCCAAATACCTTGGATCTTCTCGGCTTCCATTCGTGATAATATTGTATTTGGACGACCATTTGACGAGTACCGATACAAGAGAATACTAGAAATGTGTGACCTTCAGAAAGACATCAAGTGCTTCCCTCATGAAGACTTGACCATCATTGGCCAGAGAGGTGTAGGTCTCAGTGGTGGTCAGCGTGCAAGACTCAGTCTAGCTCGCGCAGTCTACTCAGAAGCAGATATCTTCTTAATGGATGACCCACTCAGTGCAGTTGATGCCAGGGTTGGACAACACATCTTTGATAAGTGTATCTGTGGAGAGCTGTCGAATCGAGTAAGAATTCTGGTGACCCATCAAGTACAATACCTTCCACGAGCTGACAAGATAGCAGTAGTAAGAGAGGGTGCTGTTGTTCTCGGGACATATTCGGAATTGAGCAAAAACGGAATAGTAGATACCTTACAGAAAAGACATGAAGATACTACCAGCGACTACACATTACATGAAGAAGTCGTTCATTATAAAGATGATAATTCTAAAGACATGAGGGAGGAAGATGAGGACAGAACTACTGGTACGGTGTCTTGGCGCTTGTACTGGAGGTTTTTCAAGGCTGGATTACCTTCTGTTATCATTGTTTGCCTTGCTTTATTTTACATCATCGCTCAAGGTATTTACAATGAGAATATAAATATAATCAAAGGCGCTTTACATTGAGTTGTGAATTTCAGATTGCTTTTCATGCAATTTACAATCATGAGAGACGGTTAGTAGGTGTAGGCACTGAGGGTGGTCATTGCTAAGGTTTCTTTACGTCCTCCGCAGTTCTTTTACGTCCCTCCGATATTGGTTATGACGATAATTTGTGGAGAGACGGAGCCGCCATTTAAAGAGGACATCCGATCCAATCGAAAGTGTAACCATTCGCAGATGTATATGAAGATGTCGATGTATGCAAAGGCAGCACTTTCTCCTCAATTATTTTAAGAACCCGATTGTTGGTCCGGCCGGGATTCGAACCACAACCTCCCATACGAAAGTCCGATACCCCAACCAACGGCTGGGCCAACCAAGCGGTTGGAGGTAATTTGGCAATTTGGTAATTCGAAACTTTGAGACCCCTAGAATAGTAAGGTTACCTGGACTAAAAAATAGCCATATACGTTTACTATTGTTAATTTCATGGACGAAACAAAATTCATCTATATCTTTGGTATCTCTCTCAAGGTAATTTGACATGAAATACAACGTGCGTACAGTTAGCTCAACTTGTAAGGACGTGGTCTGTTCTTTTGCGGAAGGTCGAGTCACAACCGGAGCAAGTGACTCAGGGTCTTAAATAGTAATAGGAGAAGTTGTTGCTTTTGCTAATTACATCAGAAAAATATTTAGACCTTAACGTTTTCTCGAGAAAGCAACCGTAGGTTCACTCGCAAAACTCTTCTTTACCCTGTAAATTGATGACCTGATAAAAGAACCTGTAGAATGGACCTTTGTTGTTTGTTGTGCACATTTCAGACCATGTGATGCCACTCTTGGGAGTTTATTATTTCATGTGTAAATATTTTAACATGTTTGTCATCAAAAAAAAAACATTCTCAAGGGAATGTCATGTGATCTAATGATGGGCAATTTGCATACGAAGCTCAAGAGGTCTATTAAGTAGTAAAGAACTGGCTCTCAATTTGGAGTCTTTCCTGGTGTATAGCAAGCTTAATGTATTCTGGGTTACAGCTTTTTGTTTTGCAGGGTATTGTGTAGCTTCGAATTAATTGTCTTTGGCTATTGTTTTATTTTCTTCATGCTTCAGGTGCCTAACAGCACCAAGAAAAAGCCCAAAATGAGGCATAAAACTGATAGACTAACGATTCCCTCATGATTGTAAGCTGCATGGTTGCTAACAGCACCTTGATAGGCTAGGCATCATCATTAGCATCATCATATTTCTCCTACTCTTGTTAGTGTTATAGATACCGTAACTGAATGTTAAAAATTCGCAAAAATGCAATACTTTCCATTGGAATATCAAGAAAATAACTTTCACCAGTGTTTACTGCAACCTTAATATCGAAAATTATTTAAAAAAATTTTCAGCTGATATAAATTTAGGAAAATGTTTGTCCAAGAGGCACTTGAATAGTGTGTAATGGACAAACACCGGTCATTCATTCTGTTGCTTACTCAAAGTAACGTACTTTCTCTTTCGTAGTGTCATCGGTGGTTCCAACTTGGTGGATGTCACGAATAGTTCATATGACACTACAGGAGCAAAGAGGTTCCTTCTCCTTAGGCGTGTTTAGTGGTTTGGTTGGAGCATCGTTGATTCTTTTCTTAGTAAAAGACTTGGTTTTTGTAAGCGCAATTTTGAGGTCTACAAGAAAGCTACACGACAAGATGACACTTGCTGTTATCAAGTCTCCTGTTCTGTTCTTTGATACCAATCCTGCTGGACGAATAATGAACCGCTTTTCCAAAGATATCGGTGCTATGGATGATTTACTGCCGATCCAATTCCTTTATTCGGTTCCTATGTGCTTGAATATAGTTATAGTTATGTTACTGCCTTTGGTAGGTAGCCTGTGGATCGCTGTTGCTGTCATTCCAATGGCAATGCTGTTATTCTTGATTGCTGCGTATTATCTAAAGAGTTCTCGTGAGCTGAAGAGAATAGAAGCGATAAGATGCAGTCCTGTCTATGACCATGTTGCCGAAACCATTACAGGGTTAGAAGTCATTCGAACATCAGGGGCCGAAGAAGAATGCTGCAACAAATCAGTGAGACAACTAAGTATTGCAGTGAAAGTTTATTACTCGGATACCTGTGGAATCACAGTCGTAAAATGCCTTTGTGTTTTTTTGTTTTTGTTGTTTGTTTGTTTTGTTTTGTTTTGTTTTGTTTTTTTCTTTTTCTCTGCGACAAAATGCCAAGTGGCGCAATAGTACCCAGGAGTCTTCAGGAACTTACCCAAGGCATCTGCTGTGGGGTTCACATCTATAGTCCAATCAATTATTATGTACTAGATGTCAATCAATGTCACTATGTTGTCAAGTGATCATGAGAGGGCGGAGCTAGCAGATCATGCGGTAGAGCTTTGTGTCTACCCATGCTCTATTTCGTTGCCTTCTGTAATTCAAGACAGCTGAACTAGAAATATTAATTTATCAATTTCGTAAACAAGGATTTCAAGCCGAGAAGATAACGATGATTTCGAAGCGATTATTTCTAAGGATTTTCAATGAACTTCATGGGCAATAGCTTGATTAACGAAGCAAGATAAATACTTTACTACGCACATTCCAGGGTTTGATCTTTGCCGTTCGAAGCGTTATGATCTCCTTTAATTTTTCTTCAAAAAAATGTTGATTCATTAAAAAAAACGATAAATTATAAAACGTAAAGCAAATATGAGAATGGTTTTGTTCTGTATTTACGTTTTAAATGAAGCATTTTTATTTTAAAGCGATCCGCGCGAATGTGAATGCTTATGTGAATGCTTGGTAGCACAACAAGTTAATTACGTATGCCAAAATCAGGATCTGGAATTGGAGTTCCAGATTGAGTTATTCCATAACTCTGATGAGTATGGCATAAACGCTCTGTCTACAAACGGCTGTCAACGGCTTCGACACTGTCGTTCGAAATTTTGCAACTTATCTTTACTTCTCCTTTAGATTCTTTGAGACTCTGATACTAGTAAACCTTCACAATGCATGTTGAAACCAGGTCCTCCAGGTATCCCAGTTTACCCTAGAACCAGGGTCTCGTTGACTGTATTTTATTACTTCGTTGTTTAAAGTCTAATGAGTAATAACTCGTACTATTTTTTTAAAATAATTTTTACGCTAACATTCATTTCATGGGTTTATAAAAACAACTCTACTATTTAATGGAAAAAGCGACAAATTTATAAACGGTATGACTTAACCGGTAGCCCGCGGTACGTGTTATTAGACTGAATGAATTTACATTAGGCGTTTCCGAACTTATATACTTCTATTATGCAAAAGGCGTGCGCTAAGGTCGAGCATAAAATCCTTTTTCAGAAAGACCTGCAGCACAAGCTGTACGGGAGGTTCTAACTTTGTTTTTGAAGCGAATGTCTCGGGTTTTTTATTACTTTTCAAAAATCATTTATTATGGATATCGATGTTCAGTGGATAACCCAGGAGACCGGTTATGGGTGAGACTATTTGACAGCAATTCAGACTCAGTGTTGTATGTAAACATGCATAACCTATCTCTACCGAGGGAGTTTTATATTTCTGCATATTTCCGAATTAGTCCGCCACGTATGATTTAACAAGTTCTATTCGACTGTCTGTCTTCCTTCTTTCTCTTGAGAGAAATAAAATACTAACCATTTGTTGTACGTATATCTCCCTGGCTGTTCGTTCAACTGAGCCACTTGATCATAATCTCTCTAAAAGACTTCACGTTTTACCTTCTTTTGTATTTAAGATCATCCTGAAACAAATCCGTAAATGAAAAATGGGTGGAAAATATCAACGCCTTGCCTCTGAAGCTGGTTCCAAGACGTTCAAAACTGGTCTTTTCTCCTATCTTTTCTTTACCTGGTTAAATGGGCTCCTGAGATTGGGATACCAACGACCTCTCGCTCATGACGATCTGTTGGAGCTGTCTGACGAAAACAAGGCACAAGATCTAGTGGCCAAGTTACACGTGTTATGGATGGAAGAGATTAACAGTGCTAAGAAGAGAGGCAGAAAACCCCGACTTTGGAAGGCCATGTTCAAACTATTCCTTCGAGATGTCATTCTCTTTACTGCTTTGAAACTGATGGATGAAGCTATGGGGATAACTTTGGTAGTATCAGTGTGGTTTTATCTAAAGCTCTTAGAAGAAGGATCCCACATGGATCAGACCTACGCTGTTGGTATAGTTGCTAGCATTGGGATTCCAAGTCTGATTAAGGTGTTCTTCTATCATCATTCTGATTACTTGGCTGTGTTGATGGGTGTGAGATTGAAAAGTGCTGTTATAGGATTGATCCATAAAAAGGTGAGGTGATAAAGGGCTAAAACTGGAATCAGATAGATTTCTTATAGCGGAGCTCCCGAGCGAGCACGAGCGGAGCCCCATACTTAAGAAAAAATGGTAAACCATCGAGTTGATTTTTCATGGTTTGGCTGACGTCACTTCCGTCCGCACGTCCGTACGTCCGTACGTCCATCCGTCCGGGCGTGTACACAACACAGGAATCCCGCTTGATATCAAAGCAAAACTACTCACAAATGCGGCTCTCAAATGCACAGAAAAAATCGCTTTAGGACAAGTTATAGACCAAAAACAATTAAAAAAAACACTTTCATGTAGTCAAAGATGGATCAAGAAGTGTTCTTCAAGAAATAAGGTGTGTGTTTTTTAGCAAACAATCGTATAT